TCGTATTCCTCATTCAAAGACTGGCAGGCACACCTCAATCAACCACACTATCACAGCTGGCTTTGTCCGTTACATCCAGAGGATGCCGATGATGCTGATGAAGGACCGTTCCTGTTCGCCAATCTTGCAAGATTCCGAGCTCATCTGGACATTTATCACACTGACCTCGACCTTTCAACTACTGAAGACTTGATTCACCGCGCAAGTCAACTGGCAGCATTGCCGCAGTGGTGCTTCATCTGTTTTGAGGAGCTGCCAACCTTGCCTGTACTGCAGAAACACATGGCAGATCATTTGAAATCAATGTCGTTATTGGCTTTACCCTGGCGCGATGATATTGGAGACGAGGAAGGATTCTCGAGTGACCAATTGAAAAGTATGGTAGAGCCCAGTCACGCCAGTCCTCTCTCAGAGACATATCTCGCTAGCATATCTCTTTTTGAAGACGCGGACGCTGATGAGACATTGCCCGAGCTTACGCTCGAACCGAAAGAGTTCGCATCTCTGCTTTCCATCGTCAATGCCAATGCAATTACAGTTCAAGACCGAGCTAATGATTTGGAGTTGTGGGCCGAAGGTAAGACTTTGAAACACGTTTCTGTTGGTATATTAATAGTTACAGATCACAACGAGAAAAAGTCGCTGCACGATGCCCCTATGAACGAGCACGTCGAGGTCGTCAAGCTACTGCTCGAGACAGGCGAAGCCAATGTTGAATCGAACAGCCGCTTTGTTGAGGAAAATACGGATACTATTTTGGAGGATCCTAGAATCTCACTGGCCTACAACAAGTGTCTTCTCGACGTATATGCAGACTTCATGAACTATTGTGTGGAGAAATCCCAGTCACTGGATATCCTCTGTCGATATTGGGCGCCATTACCGAAACCACCAAGTCTAGAAGCAAATCTGGATGCAAGCCCGCAAAAGGGGTTGAAGCAGAGAAACCCTAGGAATACCTCAGAGGAGATGCCTACTTGGATATCGTTCATCGAAAAGTCGACATTCAATGAACCACATAGTGTATTGGGGACTAGGATAAATAGCGATAGTCTCGTTGGCGGTCCGGGTCGTCCACAGGTTTACAATGCTTCCAATGGCCTTCGAGCCTGGGCAATATTTGGCACCTATAATCCGGAACCCGATCAAGGCGTGAATCGCTCATCAATATTCCCAACCAATTCTGCAAGGCGATCGAGCTTGCCTTCAGATAAAGAACTTGGGTTTGCAAAAATTATCCAGGAACTAAACCGCTCGCAGCTTGATGGAACACCAGAATCCCTATCCCATGGGATGAAGAAGCAACCTCTGGTATCGCCACAGAAATACGATGGAACGCTTAGTGTAAGGGGATTCTATTTGGATGTGGTGCAGAAGATTTCGCCAAGAGCTATTGGGAAAAGCATAATACCTTTTGAAGCGCTATATATGGGCGGCTGGAAGCGTAGTGATCAAGACGTTCCTGATCAACTTTGGAGAACCCTTGTCGCAGACCGAGGACCCAATGGGACCAGTGCTCCAGGGTGGTATCGAAGAGCCTGTCTCGAATGCTTGCAGCACATGAATCGCGTCGGAGATCTCGATATCGAGGACCTAAAGAAGAAAGTGCAGACCCCAAGTACGATGGTCACTTTCCTCGAGCGGGTACAGCAAGTCGTATGGGGTCAGCGATTTTTCATGACGAGAGGGAATGTGGCTAAGAATAAAGAATCACTATTTTGTCTAGGTTCTCCGAGTGTAAGAGAGGGTGATATGGTTTGTATTATCTTTGGCTGTAGTGTACCTGTCGTTTTGAGAAAAGTGTCTACTGGTGGAGGAAATTCTCATTTTGAGTTTATTAGTGAGTGCTATGTCCACGGCATGATGGATGGTGAAGCATTAGAGGGAAGGATTCCAGTTTACCCGTATGGAGGGAAGAAAACTTTGGTTACTACTTTTAAATTAAAATAATTTAGAAATATTTCTTCTCTATCTTCCTCTCTATAAAACTCAGGTCGCGTATTTACTTTTCTAGCTAGCGCCTTATGCTTAGCTTCGTTTTTCTAATGCTGATAAGATAAAGTTACTTAAAGATACTAATATTAAATAAATTACCAAAATAAATAACGCTTAAATCACTTTAATATAAACTCAGGACAGAAGATTCCATAAGAGTAGAGAATTGTAAGCCATAGAGGCCTCCTTCTTCTAAAAGTTGAAAACATTGCTTGTTGGACTTTCGTTGCAGCGTCCATAGGAGTTCTTGTCTTTCCCTTTGGAGTTTTTGCAAGTTCGATCTCGACTCTGGAGGGTTCGTATCCGAAATCCGATTGGAAAAGAAATGGTAGCGTCGATCGGGACCGGTACCTTCAGGAAGAATCACATCCTCAAAATCAACTCTGTTTCGTTGAGCAGAAAGTTTCATGGTCTTTGACAATAGTAAGTTTTGATCTCCTGCCGTTAGGCGAGTCAGACAAAGGACAGCGCGAGCCATGTGGGTTTCGAGCGCCCCACGTCGGCACCCAATGGCTTTCCAGATCGAGTCGAGGTCTCCTTTGCGACAACAAGTACATGGAGTCTGTGCATTACACTATTTTGGTCAGTTATTGGTGTATGTAAGATTTACAATGCAGGGTTATTCTACTCACTCGTTTGCGAGTCGACTTGCACTTCCAGCATGCTTGAAATTTGATGGCAGAAGGAGACTTAGAAATAGCACTTCTCTGACAATTTCCCACTGAAGTCGAAGTCTTCTGAGAAGTGGCTGATGGATCCACAATAAATGTGAATCCATGACATAAAGTGTCAACTGGCGATTCACCATTTTTAGGGTCTACCAAGTTGTTCTCCGTGTAATTGCACCTTGGGAAGTGATCTTTGCTGCCATTTGGATCGAAATTCGTAGCTAGGCTTGGTTTTTGATTGGTGCGTACAGGTTGACCCGCCGTACGAGGTGCACTCACTATATCGTTGAAGTTGATGGAGGAGGTAAATTTCTGTCTAGAAGCTTCGCTATTAGTCCTTCCGATATGTTCTGGACTTGAATAGAACTCTGCCAAGGATGCTTCTGTTCCGAGCTCAGGAGACACCTCAGGGAAGATCGTTTCCTGGACCGCCATTGACGGACCTCCAAGGTGCTGTTCTATGACATTCAATTCCAAATCAGGGCACATCAGGTTGAAGTCTTCGTCATCCGTAATCGCTACACGAGGGTGAATCTCCGGATTTATGTCCGGAGGCTCTTGGTTTTGATCTTCACCAACCAAAGGGCCGTTCCCTGGTAGCATTTTCCAATCAATGTGGATTTCTGATCCAGAGAAACCCATGACTCCGCAATGGGCTTCGCTCGTTGATAGTGAGGTCTCAATTGGAAGGGCTTCAGGCAATTTTGGAAAGTTCAAAGGAATCGGCGCGTATTAGAGACTAGGAAACTCAAGGCTCCCAGCTTAAGCGGCACTTGCGGTGTGGGAGATCCGAACTTGTCGTTGGTGAAGTGAATATTCGTATTCGAGTCCAAGTCTTCTGGCAAAGGAGTGAAGGATATCTTGTTTCAAATGGTCGACTGCTGCGAAAATGATATCTGGCGTGGTGGGATTATCTTGGAATATAACGAGCTGCTGGTAGAAGTCCAGCACGATTGGATCATTCATATCTGATCGTTGAAAATCAGCAAACCCAGATTAAAGGTCCAAGAAAGCGAAAAGGAGATCTCACCGAGCTCTGATTGCCGAATGGGAGTTACTGTTGGTTTGAGAAACGAGCCCCTCATCCCTGCCTCTATTTGGAGGTCGGTTTTGTGGAGGGGTTGCCCCATTGACTCGGGCTAGAAGTGGGGAAAGCTCCAGCTGCTCTGCTGTATTTTGGAGGCTGAAATCTCGATTGTGTTGCGAATACAGCTTGCTTGTCAGCGAGCACGACGCATTGGTGTGGGCATTTGATGCAGAATGGTTAAGATGCTGCGGTCCAGTCGGCGTGATGTTTTCTGATTCGATGGCGTCGCCAGGCTCTGCAAACAATCGATCCAAATCTTTGCTAATGTCTTGATCTTGATCGAAGTCATCAAAAGAGAAGAATTTGCTCATGTCTGCCACATCAGAGTTTTGAACAAGCGTGGAATCCCATTCCGAATTCATGCTGTTCATGCTGAGCCACTCCATGCAAATTTAATCCAATTCGTGGGAGCTGAACTGTGTTCGTGATTGAAGTTGCTGTGAAGTAAATATGAAGAGCCAGAAGGCGCGAGGAGGACATACCATTTTCAGAGATGCGTGGCAGATATATATTTTGGTCCAATGAGGCTGAGGAATGATGGGTTGAAAGTGCAGGCGGCCCCCTAATCAGGCTTAGCGCCCTCTAGAGGCGGTCCAAATGAGACATCACGTGATACTGCCCCTTTTCCCTGAATCGAGGGGTTTTCGCTTAGAAGTGCTTGATGTTCGGCAAGCTGCGAAACGTCTTGGGAGTTCGGATTGTAGTACTGAATATCTAATTTCTTAGATGAGGAGAAGCAGATACATTTTGTTTAATACTAAAATTCCCTTAGTATTAAAACCTTCTACTAGAAGTAAGGCATTGATTTTTATACGAGTCTGTAGTTGAAGCCACACTTAGAATAGGTTGGTAGTACAGAAAGCACAGAATTTATAATAAAGAAAAGCTATGATGCCTAAACTATTGAGAGAAAGAACAAGAATCGTAGCACTTTTCTGTAATTTATGTTCGGATCAATAATTAAACGACAGGGAACCAGAACCGATAGCGAATCCATGGTTGAATATTTGTCAAAAAATGCAATGAAAGAAAAATCAAGTAACACCGAATGGTTAGTGTGAGGCAGGACCTGTGAGCAAAATTTTATAGTCCAAGTGGAGTGTGGCAAGGTGAAAATGAGTTAAGCGAGGAGAAAAACGGGGCTAAACGCCCTTTCTATAATCAAATAAGGAATTTTCCTCCACTCAATTTGTTGAGAACAAGCCCGGGTGTAAGTTCAAATTCAATCATTTAATGTATCCTGTTCTAACATCTTCAAAGAGCTCAATCGGTAGAGCGTGTGGCTCTTAACTCTAAGAGATAACCTCAAGGTCGTGGGTTCGAGCCCCACCTCGGGCTCAGTTCCCGAGGTTCCCAGTAATGGGAGCACTCGTCTAATAATTTTTTCATTCTTTTTGCATTTTTGTTGCACTGCCTGTCATTCACTGGAACAAGCGAGCAGCGGTGGTGGATTATTCCCATTTATAAGAAGTGTCACAAGCTGGCCAACTGAATCTATCTGCAGGATGGCTCGGCTGACATGCTGACAGCAACCGAGCTGCTGCCTGCTTTAACGTATAGGTTTTTCCTTGAATTTGGCTTCGAAATCCAGAAATTGAGAAGTTTTATACTTGAGAGATTAACCTCTATTGCCGGAGAGAAGTGTGACGTGTCTAAGAAGAAAAATTTAGAGAAATTGATAAATAACTTCAGCTATAAGCCGGATATACGAGCACCTGGTTTAAATGTTGAGCTTCTCATTATTACGCATAGTATAATTCCTCGGTGCGGCCAGCTTTTCATGCCGGGATAACAAGAGTAAAGCCTCAGGTTCAAGATGCAAGGTTAAATGTATATGGCTCAACTTCAAATCATATCACTTCCCATTTCTGTTCTTGGACTGAGAACCCTGTTTTATTGTAGGAAAGTTCTTGTTGTCAGTTCTTTTCTGCTGTCAGAAAAATTTCGACACCCTGCCATGAAGTGCCTCCTACCGAGTACAAGAAAACGCGAGCGGACACAAACATGGCAAGCCAAGCCGCAAATTAAATATTCCGTGGTGTTCACTTCGGCCGTGCGCTTTTGAAGCTCACAACTCAACTGGCAGAGGAGCCATCGTATTTGCACGAGGTTGGAACTGTGCTTCGCTATCCTAATACCGAAGCGCCATCTTTTATACTGTAACAATCTTCCATCAGCTTCTTAGAAAACGTGACTTGAAAAGCAAAAACCGGTGCGGGGAAAGATGCTAGTGATGTGTCTGAGCACATTGCTTCTTGATATCTATGCTTGACCCTATATATGTATCACCTCTCCCCAGTCTCAAAGCGATTTATCAAGACGTATGAGGAAGTTATGAACATCGCGAGGACAGTGAGGGTATCAGGTTTCCGGTCACTGATAACAAAGAAACCAGACAGTCTTTCAGAGAGGTGATCACGACTGTAGAGACAAGAGCCGTGATTCCCTTCGACAGTGCGTTTGATTAAAAATTATTTCTTCTAGTTTTAGGGAGGTTTTCATTGTTGTTAATTTTTCTTTTGCTGTCAAGTCCCAACGCCTTGTTATTCTACCACAAAATAGAAATTAAAAGGCGAAAGAGCAGTGTCTACCCGAGGTGAAACACCAAGTGATCCTGTCAATAAGATGGACTTCTTTCATAATAACCAACAGCTTTTATGAAGCTGTGGCCAAGTCCCACGAGCGAAGACACTGTGATGATTTTGTATGAATACCAAAGAGATTGCAACTCGGAAGGAAGGGTTTTATACCCCGGAAGCGTGTCGGCTACTCGTCGGCAATTCCTCGCACCCTTGGGCCGACTTGTCATAACAAGCGAGCTGGTCCGAACCGGGTGTGGAAATGCCTGCGAGTACTTAGGCTAGGAATGATTCACAGCACGCCTCCCACAAGGCGCACGATCGGCAAAACTTCGGCATTTTGTTATATATAAGTCTTAGAGACAGACTTCTCATGCAAAGACTGGCGTTGTACTACAAGAGCAATCTAAGGAGGTCACCACCGAGGAACTCGACGGTCACGCCACCTGCTTCTGGACATACCTGCTAAAACCAATGATGAATCCACAAAAGGATTGTAATCTCCCGGTAACCGTAACCGCAGGCAGAAAGTACTCTTTTCTGATAGGATACGCAGTACTCATAATACACATGCAAGTGAGTGATCGCTGACAGTACCGGACATATGACAGCAAGGATTTACGTGACAACAAACATTAGTATCTCACTCGAGAATTGAGAATAGTTTGCTAAAAACGCAACACTTCCCTTGGAAGATGTTAATTTCTGAAAAACCAGGGTCCGATGTCTGAGTCGACGTATAATGGTCTCAATGTATGTGTTGCTCGCCCTCGTTCTTGAGAAGATGCATTGACATTAACATTGACTGGGGCTTGGAATCGAGTAACAGAAGCATTATTTATATCACAAGAGATACTTCGAACGCTGGGCTTACCTCATGTTGTTTGGAATGGAATACGGTATTGGAGAAAGACCATGGATCAGAAGAAGGGAATATTGCAGCTCGCGAGGTCAATTCAGAAGTAGAGCAGAGCCTAACTTGAACTCATGCAAAGAGAAAAGCAGCATCATATTCAACCGTACCAAAGGTCCGCCACTTAAAGGCTTGTATTCGCATCAATCACCCACGCATATACGCCAGTCATAACCTGAGCCCATTCACAATATCCAGCCGCAATGTTCAATCACTTCATCAATTCAGAAACCGACTCGCATACTCCCCAAAGCCTCTTCCCCGCCACTTCATTGCCTGCCACTTTACCGTGGTGTCTAACAAAGATTTATGGAATAGCCTCGTAGCTTCCACTTCCAGCATGCGCCTCGCGGTTGGAGAAAAGCCAGTAGAAGATCAAGCCGAGGATCGGGAAGAGGAAGACAACGACGCACCAGAGCAGCTTGTGCGAGGGAGGGCGGTTGGACTTGAGGATTTCCACTATAGATCATTGGATTAGCTGTATTCTTTCAGAGATCTTACAGGTCTTTGTAGGGGCAGGGTAAAGCTGACGACACAGCTAGGAAATAGGAATGGGCAATAGGGCGGGAAAGGTGGTGAACAATTAAGGGGAAGGAAGAAGAGGGTGAAACATACTGAACACCATAATATCGAGAATCAAGACAATGAAACCAAGGACTCCTCCGCTGGTACCGTATTTCCAGGTATTGTCGATTGTGGTTGCCGCCATCTCGTCGGCCATGGCAAAGGAGACGAGGAGAAGGTTGAAGAAGAGTGATGAGATCATGGTTGCGGTTTCTTTGCTTTCTTGTTACTGAGAAGTGGTATCGTGAAGTTGGATGGCGGTGTTGAAGGATGGACGTTGTGTGGTAGATAAGAAGAGGGGAGGTTGGCGTGGGGTGGAACAATGTCGTTGCCTAGTGTGATTGGCGTCATCCGCTACGTCATAGGTGCTTTACCGTTTGGCGAGCTTGGCACAGGGCTCGCTTAATTGACACCCCCCCCTTTTCTTGCCATGGCGTGAGTGAGAGGAGTATAAATTTAAGCTGCTCTGGCTTCTTAGACGAGTCGACCAAGAATAACAAACACCCTTGTGTTGCAGTTGTAGAGGTATCTCGAATAGGCGACCTTACGCTCTTGGGTTTTCAACGATGCCTTTAATACAGACACTACTTTAACTGCTGAGGAAGAGTTCCCAAAGTAGTTTTTCGTAACATAAATGTAAACTTTTTCATGCTGTTGTCATTTTATTAATTGCTGTCAAGCATTCTTTTCTGTTGTCTTTCTGCTGTGTAATTCGACGTGCAGAAAAGGCTTAGTGTCTTTCAGCGTGGCATTATGATCTTTGCAGCAGTGGTGGCTTGTGAGGTAGTTACCCCATCTCTGAATATGTAAAGCAAAGAACTAACAGGATATAAAGCCCACGTCTTCAACACCCTCATCACTCCCCTAATCATGGGTATGAAATTTTTAGACTCCACCGAGACACTGACTAAAAACAAGTATCGCTTGCAAGCTTGTGCTGTACCAGCTGGCCCACTTCAGTGTGCTTCTATCAACAATCCGAAACGGCGTCTTCGATGCTATACACTGCATGGCGCAATTCCGAGTCTCGAGGAGCCATCTGCAGATTCATCGGCATTGGCAAACGCAGATACGGGGTCCGAGATTGATCTTATGTCCTTAAACTTTTGCAAACGGCGAAAGTTCGTCCTAAGGAAAGTATTGCCTGAAGAATCTTCCGTTCAATTCGCCGATGGAAGTCTTGCGACCCTAGCCGGGTACGTAGTCGTCTACGTTACTTTCCATGGGACTGAGGTTGGGGAAAAGATCTCGCGAAAAATTTACGTGCTTGAGGATCTGTCTTGCGATTTGCTTCTCGGCGAAGATTTCTTGGAGCAGACGAACGCGTTTGAGACGTACAAGGACTCATTTTCTATCGAGGATGACAATGATCTGGCGCAGGTCAACACGATTGTTTGGTTCAAGACTCACGGGAAATTCCTTACTGGGCCGGGCATGAATCCCGTTGCTGCCCCAGAACCGCTGTCTGGTAAGTCTGCCTGTTGGTCAAATCACTAAAGTACTAAAACATGAACAGTTGAGAATGCTATCCCGGACTCTGTCCCTCCTAGTCGATGGAACACAATAAAGAAGCGAGTCCGCAACTTCTTGCATAACCAAGACAAAGAGTTCTCCGATGCTCATCCTGTCAAGAACGAAGATTGCAAGTCTTCCATCCATACTGATTTTGATCTTCCAGCAAGGAAGAACACATTAGTGACCACAAGCAGATTCCCTTCCCACCTTTGAAGCCCGCTTCGGCGAACGTGACGCACGAGAGATCCGCCGTCGAGAAAAGGCAGCTCGGGACATCGCCGCTCTTCCCACTGAAGAACAACCTGCCGCTAGAGATCTCGAGCTTGAGATGATGAGGAAATTTGATCTGGATAGGGAGCTTCTTCGTGAGGCGAGGAATAGTGCATTGTTGGGTTTGGAGCGGAAGGCCGAGGGGTCTGGGACTTCTGATTCGGGATCTTGAATGAGTTGACCATTGGAGAATGGAGATAGAATTGAACTCCGACATATATTGTTCTATTTATAGAGCACGTTTCAACTTATCTTATTTATTGTTCGTATCTTCGTCGGATAGAGGTTTAGATATCGCACCTTTACGTCGGTATTTGGAGGATAATTCAATATTACTTGCGTTCCTTCGGATATATAGGCCGTGTTGAAAATAACTTTCAATTTAGGTCATTATTCCTTCTTTTCTCATTGCAATGATGTTTTCCTTCACTCCTTAGTCAATATATCTGAGGCCTCATCGAAGTGCTAGCGTCAATAATGTTCTAATATAATTTAATA